ATGTCATAATAATAATGTCGATTTTTATGCAAATTAGTCTAAAACAAAAAGATATAAATAACTGGTTAGAAGGCTCGAAAAAAAATTGTTGTCACATACACTATAGCCATATCATAACAGTATTCATTATAATCATATTCTGGCTAGTCCATTTTTGTTTTCACGTAGTCCTTTGCCGCCAACACTTGGTTTGAGGGCTACAGTTGGAGCATTGCAAACTGTCCGAAATGTGATGTCCACGTGGGGTGGTAAGTAAACTGGGACATGATTTAAACATTTTCTATGCTTACAGCTAATGCTGGATTGAAAAACAAATACGCTTATTCGTATTTCTTAATGTGAAAATGAAATAAAAATAAAACCTAATAAACTTAGGTATAAGCTCATCAAAGGACCTGGGCTCTAATTACAATAGGACTGCCGAAACGTTTATCACTGTGTAACTACCACAAGCAAGGTTCGTAAATATTTTAAGACAAGAGAATCTTTGTTGACACCTCATTTACCAAGGCTGGAATGAAGCTTCTAGTCGTTCAGCAGCGATGGCCGAGAAGGGTTCCAGTTTCGAGATACTCATGTCAACAATGGACAAATATTTCTCCGCAAGTGAATAGTGTACAAATAGATGCTATCTTACTAAATTTTTCTAAGGCTTATGACAAAGTTCACCACCATAGTTTGCTTAAAAAATTAAAATATTTTGGCATTAATGGTCCACTGCATCAGTGGATTAAAGATTTTCTGATAGGGAGAGAACAAACTGTAATAATAAATGGCTCTAAATCAACACCGATAACAGTAAACTCAGGTGTACCTCAAGGAACAGTCTTGGGTCCACTACTATTTTTAATTTGCATAAATGATTTACCAAATTGCATTACTTCAGGAACAAAAGTCAGATTATTTGCAGACGATTGCATAATATATAGAACAATAAAAACAACACAAGACACAGATATTTTACAAAGAGAATTATATGAATTACAGAAATGGGAATCAAATTGGAGCATGTCTTTCCACCCAGAAAAATGTCAGTTGCTAAGAGTAACAAAAAAACTAAAACAAATTAATTCCACTTATCTTATTCATGGCAAACCAGTAACACAGACTAAAAATGCAAAATACCTAGGTGTTATAATAAATGAAAAACTGTCATGGAATCCACATATTGATGAAACTATAAAAAAAATCAAACAAAGCATTAGGATTTATTACAAGAAATTTCTATAAATCAAATAAGAACATAAAACTAAAATGTTATTTAACCTTGGTTAGGCCAATAATAGAATATGCATCCTTCATTTTGGACCCCTCAACTCAAGAAAACAAACAGGAACAGACACAAAATAGAGCAGTGAAATTCATAACAAATGAATATTCACATTTGACTAGAGTAACACCTTTAGTAAAATCACTAAATTTAGAAACCTTCAGGACAGAAGACTCAAAAGTAAAGTAGCAATTATACATAAAACACTGAACCATAATCTTAAAATACAAAAACAAAATTTAATAAAATACTCTGAAAGACATAAAGATAAAGGCACATTCCTCGTCCCATATGCTAGGACAAATTTGTACAAATACTCCTTCTGACCTAGTGCTTTTAGAGCATGGAATGGGCTGCCTGAGCTAGCCAGGAAAACCAGTGACTTGGCAGAATTTAAGTCATTGGTTAATATGCATAACTAAATGCATGACGCGTAGGACGTAATCATCTTCTTTTTTGAAGTAACGTCTGTATTATATAAGATAAGATAAGATAAGTGTACTATCCTCTTAGCTGATGACTAAACGTTGTGTGAGAATCGCAGGACATGTCCTAGACAAGACGAAACACGCGGGTCATGTCCTAGACAAGACGAAACACGTTTACCAAAGACATTAACATGGAAGCCGAGAGGAGGTAAATGAAAAGAAGGCCGACCACGTCTAACATGGATTAACACCTTCTTAAAAGACCTAGAATCCAAGGAGAGAGCTTGCCGCCCTATGAACTACGACAAAAGCAAATTTAGTTGTCATTATGGAGTCGTACAAAAAAACCCGGTAATTTATTCTTTGAGATATATTGCTCCATGGGGCATATGCCTCTGTTATGGCAGATTAAGAAGGGCACATTGGGGCTAGAATTACGACCAAATGTTTTCATGTTACCTTCTTGCAATGCCAATTACTTAATGTAGGATACAAGGCGGGGCAGGTCTTAAAATACCCTAAATTTCGTTTTGCCGAAAAAGAATATAAGCTAGCCATTAATCATAAAATGTCAGCATGAAACCAAACTTTAACAAAAATGTTTTCTTGAAAGTGTAGCATTCTTACGGTGTACAACAGAACCATGTTGGTTTTATTCAAAACACTCTAATGAACGCAGATCTATTAAATTTCTTTCATCCACATATGGAGAATACAACTCATCATATGACACTACATTAATATGTTATACTTTTACAAAGGTTATATTAACTCACTCTGGTTGTCTGTCTGGTCAAAAGTTTGTACACGTTATTTCTCCCACACCCAATCCCGGATCGAGCGGAAATTTTTGCACAATTATTTCTTTTACCTGACAAAAATCAATAAAAATTAAAAAATTAACCAATTAGTTAATAAATTATTGGTAATTAATTATTTTGTTTGTTATCTCAAACAATGAAAAGAAAGTGTACTTGACTGAAGTGATGGTATAAAATGAATTAGTCCCCTTTTTAGATCATCGTCTGAGTTTTAGTGAACGCAACATGAAAAATATGACAAGACTATAGAACGATACAATCTTCCATTTTCATAGGCTCTCCACTAGCAGAGTGGTTAAAGTGTTGGCTTGAAAAGCCTGAGAAGGCTTGAGCCATTAGTTTAAATTCAGGTCGTATCCCCTTTTTTACTTTTCATAAATGCTTTTTTATTGTCAGTTTATTAGAAATTTAATTACATGATTGGCCCAAACTAATTGACACAACTATGCTTAATATAATTTTTTTTTAAGTTTTTTTTTTTCATATTTTCTTGTCTAAGGACCTACTATGCTATGAAGGATGAATTTAACCCATTTAAGGCTCACATTTCAACTTTTGATGGACTCATTATGGATAAGTTGTATTTCAAGTTGGTAAGACATGAGTAGCATTTCGTATTGTGAAAAGTATTTAAATAGTATTAGGTGTTTTTTCTATATAGCCTAGGTGACCAACTTCTATTCATGTAATTAAAATCTATTGCACTAATGATAAGACTATGTTTGTCCTCTTGTTTGATCCAGTAATAAAACTAATTTGTAAAGAAATCAAAATCAATCTACTTTCAGTCACTCGATGCAATGAAGAAGTGAACTTCAATGCTAAAAATCATCACAAAGTCCTGATCAACGTGAAGGAACATGAGCACAATATAGTACAATATTTAGAGTCTTCTTCTTCTTGAAACTATCCAGGTAGAGTTGAGCCTTCAGCGCTTGGAACTCTAAGCCAGCAAAAGTGAACAGAGCTCCCTCCCACTGGCCTGAAAGAGAACTGTGTACACTGTTCTGTCAGACTCAAGGCAAGAGGCCGCGTACACTAAGACCCCCGCCATTTTCCTTTTCCATACCAAGCTAACCGTGCCTACTTATAAAGTTATATATACATTTGGATATGGCATTATGTTATCATTTACATAATGAACTCTTTTTTTTTATTCAAATGTTGAAAAGTGAATTAAAAAAAAACAATGATTTTAACCTCAGTATTTTTTTCTGTAATTACATTTTGTAGCTTTAGTAGTTTCGAAGGTCAAAGTTATCTTTGTTCCGGCTATATTGCATATTGTATATACTTTACAAACTCTAGTTTTCGGCAGCAGTTCGATTTGTTTGTCTGCTGCATTGGGGCCAAACCCTTCGGTCACTGCAAAACATGAATCTCTTAAAACTGATCCTCAGAGACTTCAGTCTGCGTTTTGAACAAGCTGTATTAGACCATCATCGGTCTAGGGCTAATGCCCTTTGCAATTATCACACTTAATATGTGTAGGCCCGTGGGCGTAGCCAGGTGAGGGGGGTTGGGGTTCAACCCCCCCCCCCGAAATGAAATCCCATTAGATTATGTTTTTGAAATAAAACTTTTTAATAGCAGGAAAATGCACTGTAGATACCTCAGAATATGCATTTGTTGGCTTTCAATACCAGAAATAGTGCTTGGCGGCGGTGCTCTGCCCCCAGACCCTCTTGCTGGCAATGCCGGGAGTCTACAATTTTTCCACTAACTCCAGAAAGAACCTATTCTAGGGCACAATAAGCGTCTTCCGAAAGAATGATGGGTCAGAATGTAATAAAAATTATACACACACACATACATATAAATATATTTTATTCGCGGGGGGGGGGGGGGGGGAGAAAAAAATCCCCTCCAACCCCCCCCCCCCCCCCCGAAAAAAAAATCCTGGCTACGCCCGTGTGTAGGCCTATGTGTGTGTGTTGACACAGTGGCTTATCAATAAGTTTTTCTCAGCACTCAGACACCAACGATTGTCGAAGGTTACAAGCTTGTTGGTAAGGCGTGTTTCAGAAAGTCCAATAAATCTTCTGGGATTTCTGCCACCATTGCAGTATAGTTAAAAAAAAAAAAAAAGCAAGGATGTTTTTGTATTCATGCTCTGCAGGCGATGCTCAAAGATAGGAAGTAGACGCCAGGCGCTTCCTCGATATCTCTTAAGACGACCGAGGATCTTATTTACTGGTAGCAATGAGAGAGGCCTATGGCTAGTCTCCGTTATTGTTTCTGACCAATCAATCGAGTAGGGCGTACTAACGGATTTGGTCTAGAGTTCAAACAATGCCGAGAATATGTTTTTTTTTAAAAAATAAAGCTTCAAGCTGGCTAGAAGAAGCAGAAGAATATCAACTCACTCTGCCTGGTTCAAATCTTGCACACGTTATTTCTCCCACCTGCAAATCTCGGATCAAGTTGGGATCTCGCACAATTATTCATTGTCTATGAGAACACATGAATTAACAAAAAAACAACAACAACAATTGTTTAATCAATGAGTGGCTATTAGATTATTTTGTTTTATTTTAATAAAAGGGAGATACATCTTGCAGTATTTAGGGATATAACAGTACTTTCACTTATATAGGTCAGGAGACTTTAAAAGAAGGGACATACATCATGCATTATATAGGGATATGACAGTACTTTCAATTACATAGGTCATGAGATGACGGTTTTGGTAACGTACACCCAACTGACTTTAGCTGGGGAAAGTAAAAGCGGTAGGTCGCTTTGCTAGCCACATGACAACCTGCTTGTTAACCAGAACGCAAGGTCTGAATAGGGTAACTTTCCTTTTGGACCATCCAAGTATTTATTGAGTGAAATGGCTTAATCTACTTAATATTGGCTAATAATGCTTTTCATAAAGATTTAGAGTTTATGATTTTGGAGCTCAGTAGATTTCTATATGGGTTTTAATTCTTTTTCCTTTTACGACTGCGAAAGTTTTGCATAAAAAATATACGATTTTCAACTTAGAGAAATAATCTTCATATGATTTTAGTTTCATCTTTGTTTTTTTATAGTTTTTCAATCCTAAATGTCAAACAATGTTGTTTTATCAAGTAGAACCCCAAGTTTATTATGACAAAGATGTAGTGGAATAAAAAAAGAGTCAAAAGGGCTATGAGATCAAGTGTTGTATTTTTAAAAATTTTTAATTCACTAATATTTTGTTCATATATGTTAGAATTGTCTTTAATAGATGATTAGTTGGTCATCCCGTATTGTTTTTTTTTTAAAGTGCATTACATGTTTGATTTAAAAATAAAACGTAAGTATATGCGAATAATTTGTTTATATAAATTTTGTTGGCTTTGGCTTTGTAACTTTTATGCTTACTGCATGCATATATAATGTGTTGTTTTTTTATTCTGGTTTTAAATAAACACATTTTTTTTCTTTTACCGTGCTATGATAATATTTTGAGCTAGTTACGTTTCCGATATGTAAATATTTATTCACATTACCTCCCTGACGAAATATTATTTTACTGTGTCTTTTTGAGCCTGCAAATACCTTTCCTTGTTTCATGTGTCAGTTTCATATGAAATTCAATAAAAAAAAACTCTAGAATAAAACTGTCTACATTATCCGTGAGTTTTATTAATTTCAATATTATTTCTTCTCATTATTAATTAATTTTATTTTAGTTACGATTCTCAGTCTCAGTTTCGTCTATATCCTGGGTGCTTAATGTAAAATACATAACAAATCTCAAAGTGTATTTTTAAATTTAAATGAGCTTTTTTCTAAAAAAGCAACAAACAATCATATAATATAATTCTGAAGTAGTTAAATCTCATTAAATATTAGTGGCGTAGCAACCATGGCGCAAACGGAGTTATGTAAAGGAATGTGTTGACTATAAGAGTTACAATGCTTCACATTATCACATTTTTGAAATTAAATTAAGTTCAGTGTTCTTAAATTCTATTGTTGGTGTCCGAGCAAAATCCATGTAACTCTTATTACTGTAGTGTGTAATCTATTCAAGGGAGATAACTCTTCAATTGTCAGTACAGTGTTTCATTTTAAATCATGTTAGTTTTTTTTTTTATTTAACAACTAGTCGACGGAGCGTAGCATACGCCGCTTTTTTGCAGGGCAGGCCATAGACCACTGCAACCTCTGCAACCGCAGTGGGCCCAGCACATTTCATATGACCCGCGCTAATTCTAGATGTATAATAAATTATTAAATTAAACCTGGAAATCTCCTGAAATTGCAAAATATACAAAAAGTCCTTGAAATCTCCGGAAAGTATTCAAATCCTTTGAAAACTCATACAAATCACCTCAAATATATAGACAAACGCAAGGCTCGTAAAGTAATTCTTCTTCTTTTTCTTCTTCCACTAGCCAGCTTTATTGCTGCTGGGCTGTGAGCTCTTTTGGAGACTTTTCCAAGGGAAAAAAATTTGCTGTTTTCTTCAGCACTTATTTTCTAATATAAAATCTTAATTTTGAATTTATTATACTATCAGTATTACTACCCAAACTTGGCCTCGCGAAATTCGTTTTGCATAGGGCCCAACAATGGTTATTCCGGCCTTGCTATTTAGTGACGGGTGAATACTACTTGTTCTCCCCCCCCCCCCCCCCTCTTTTTTTCGCCTCTAAAATTCCGTGGGGTAACTCTAGTCCGAGTTGCAGAAAAAAAAAGAGGGATCTTTCCATTACTTCTCGGTGTCCAAACTGTTGAGCCGTGCAGATAATTATATATATAGATATTCACCTGTAAGCCTACTCATTGTGAAGGGGTTCTATTTGATGAGTTATACTTTTTGTTTTGGTCAGTGTTATTTATTTCTTTAATATTACAATGCATAGTGACTAATTAAATACTTCAATTAGTTGTATAAGTAAACAATAAAATTAAATAATTTAGTTGAATGGTGGATTTCATATTTCCATATGCACATTTCGATAAAATGACTGTACATCAACCTTTATTTAACTCGTACTACGTGGAGACTTCTGGTTGGGCTCAAAAAACCTGGTCGGACACGGATCTCGAAAACAGCTATAAAAGATTTTCCTAGAAAACTGATAGTTGATATATATAATTGGTAAAAGAATTACTAGCTCATTGACCACAAAGGAAAAAACTAATTCGACCGTAATAATGTTTCAAAGTATAAAACAAAATATACATGAATTCTCGGAACTAGGAAATAATGACTCTGAATGGGCTCTATGTCTACTGGTATTTCCGCATTTATTTTGACGATAGTCTTGTAGTCTAGATCTAAAGGCCTATTGTAAAGTGTACTAGACCTAAATATTTGCTTAAATAGAATTCTTTCTTGAAAAGGAGGGGGGGGGGGGGGGGAATGAAAATATGTAAAACATTTCCAATTTTTTTTAAAAATCTAGCCATCATTTGTTACTGGAGAGAAAAATAATCGCTCTATAATTTGCAAAAAGTAAATATTTTGAAAATGTTTTTAAAAATTGTTTCTTGTTTTTATGTTATATTTCGTATTATATGTCCTTTTTTTCTTTTTGGTTTAAAGCACTCGACTTACAAACTGAGAGATATCGGGTTCGAATCTCGGAGAAGGTTCTTTAAAGACATTACCGGGCTTAACGTCTAGAATGGTAGCATTATTTGAATGCCACCACTAAGTAGCACCTGTAAAAGTGGTGCAATCGGTCTCACTTGCTAGTACATAAACACTCCACAGGAAGTCGTAGGCAGCACTTCTCGCTGTTTAAAGCTATGAAGCCTCAGGCTAATTCGCTAGGGCTTCGGAGGAGGTTTGGCCCCAAGTTGTGAGGAAGTCATGGCCCGTCGTTGGGTTGACCCCCCCCCCCCCCCCTCTTCGCTGCCGCCATATCAAAACCTCTAGCTAAACGTCAATAGCCGCACTGGCTTGTGTGTGTGTCCCTGTAAAAAGGGCGTAAACCCAAATAAAACCCGGTTTAGAGCCCGTAGGCAAGGGGACAGTGCTAAGACTGCTGTCTGGCAAATTCCTGCAGCCACCTGACCCCAAATTGTGATGGTTTTTCCCTCCCTTTAAATCCGGTCAGTATGGTAGACAGACGAGTGGGCAACCCGGAAGTCGCAAATGTACCGCCCAGGATTTCCCCCAATGATGGAAAGGTCAATGTGTTAATTATAGACAAGATAATAGGCGATTAAGAAATAAAAACATAATGGCTTTGTGATAACCGAATAGCGTCCTGAGCGACCCAGGTCATGCAAAACATCAGTAACGGATTAACTTTACATCACATGACCCATATAAGTTGTCTATGGGAGGCGCTTTTCATGTACACCCGAAATATTTTATTTTTCAGTTAACAAAGTTTTAAAATTATACTTAGGTCAGTGTTAGAATCAATAATCAAAATTATTTACTAGAAATTCTATAAACGCATACACATACTTTGTGTGTACAGCATTTCTTTATATCATCATTAATTGGCAACATTTTGAAGAAAGACGCACACAAATTTAAAAAAAAACTGAGATCTCAATCTTTATCCTCTTCTCTCAATCAAATTTGAATAAAAAATAAACAAATGAGATTTCTAATAATTTACACACACACACAAAATTGTGTGATATTCACAAAATAAATTAAACTATATTAATCAAATAATTATAATGATAATAAAAGAAATAAATTATGAGACTTATTTACATTAATAAGTTGTTGATTCTTGTATAATACTTAACGGTAATTTTTGTTTACTGTGTTAAAATTAACAATAGTTAGATAAAAATGTTGTTTACACAATTGTATTATCTATATTGTCTCAATGCACAAATATTTCCTCATACAATGTTCAGTAAAAAAACAACTTATACTGGCTTTGTTTCTTGCTGAAGATTGATACAGGTTAAGGAATACCTATAGATTATAGAAGGTAATGTAGCAAGGTCACCATGCCCTCGGTTCGAGAATATGATGATGCCCCACCCTTTCTCATTTTATCCGTAGTTCAAGTGTAACTTATACCAAATAGAGCCCTACTGCAATAGAACATTAACAGAAATGAAGTCCAGTGCGGGTAATAACCTTTTTTTTCAAACACTAGTGAGCTACTCATGAGCAGCAGCTACAAAATAGTACATGATACAAATCTGATACATTTAAACTTGTACACAATTTTTCTTTTTCTTTGAAGGACCTCTAAAGGTCATGGGTCATGGTGCAATTTTACTCTTCGCGCCATGGTTGCTACACCACTGGGTATATTTATATAGAAAGTTCTAAGCTATAGAATAACGGTAAGCTGCTAAAAAGAGGAAGTTTGGCAACAGATTTTGAAATAAATGTTCAAAATAAAACATAACGTCAAGGACTCCTTATGAAAAGATCACTGCTGCCAACTAATTTGTAAACAAATTTTGTTCTATCAACGGAAAAGCCTGGAAAAAATTTAATTCTTAAGTGCTGAAAAGTGCTAAAAATAAATTATATGTTTATTAAAGTATTTTAATGATCAAAACATTTTTTTTTTATGTACACCGGATACACCAAAGAATGTTTAAGTATATTGTTTCTATTGTGGGAAAATTTCAATACAACAAATCACACAAAGATAATTCGAGAATCACTCTGAAACTATTTGTTTCTAATACTGATTTCTTTTTTTTTTTTTAATTAAACTGAAAGTCTTTATTGAAAACATAAATAGATTTTTACACACAAATTATTTCAACATCTAGTACAGTCTATATTAAGATAAGAAAAAACAACAACAGGTTGTCCATCCTGAGCCTGTCATAGCTTTTGGTTAGCCCCAGTCTGGGTGAATGACAAAGTGCCTTGGAGTGCCTGCGCCAGGTTTCGTAAAATGAGAGCTCCAGTTATTCACAGGGTTGTCATCTCGATATTCTACAGACAAACAAGCATATTGATGTTGGTTATATAATACATGTAATACTGTACCAATACTAAAAATCTTAAACCTCTACAATATTAAGTTGTGTTTCCTAGCTTTTAAGTTTATCCTCCATTTTTTTAAATCTTTATAAAATAAACAATTAAAAGACCCTCACCTTCTGTCTACATGTGCCCCCCCCCCTTTAAAAGCTTGATACTCAGCCCCCCCCCCCCCCCATTCTCCGCGCAAACGCCCACACACTGCAGTAATGTTGAACAATAAATCTTTTAGATTTAATGATTATAAAAGAACTAGACAAATTATGAGCAAACTAACGTCCCGCGGGCCAATTTAAAAAAATTATTAAACTTACTAAGAACAGTTATTTACTTTCAGTTCAATAAATCGTAAATGTTATCACTCAATCATGAGAATAATTTGTTCTCTACTATATTGCAGAGGTAAGGCTGTTGTTTCTTCCGTCCACAATTAAAATAATTAAGCATCAAGAATTAAAATGACAAGTCAGCAAAAAGTCACGTTGTTACAAGTGACACATTCTTGTATGCATTCATTTCTTGGAAAGGCGAGGTCACCAAAGAAAGATAAGATAGTCGAATGATTAGGGAAACATTGCTATACTCTTATCAGGAATTTTTACTTCAATACAATAGGGTCTTTTTGCTAAACGTTTTAAAAATTAACTCTGATCTTCTATGTTTTCTCCATGTTTGTATTATACATGGAATTCTGGCCTCTTAAGAGTTGAACATAGCTGTAACAAAATCATCGCTTTAAAGGTTGTGCACAGTGCATGCATGTGATCGTACAGGCCAAGAACTTCGCGGACTTTTTCTAGCACTCAAACCATTATCCATTTCTATCGCATGGGTTGTTGGCAGAACGTTTCAGATATGTCCATAGGTAATGTGTGGACTGATTTCAAGGATCGCTTTAAGGGACAACTTATAGTTCCTTCCATTTGAGAAAACCATTTTATCTATGTGAACTTGGCTTGGCTTGGCTACCTAGAAGGGGGCTCAAGGTTCGACATAGGACTCGGGCAGAGTTGTGTTTACTGAGCGCCTAAAGGCAGCACGGAAAATTACCCCCTCCCCCCAACTGGTCCACAAAAGAGATTGGACCAAAAGCGCTCTGAGCATGCTATAAGCATGAAAGTAGCGCTATATAAAAGCTATAATAATAATAATTATGAACAAAATGAGCAGTATTGATAACAAAAACAGTGTCTAACCTATTGCAGTAATACATTAAATTAAAAAAAAAAGATCTAGAAACTCACCTGGTAGATGGTGCCAGGTAGCATACATCCACCTGTTGGCTCTGGTCTCCTGGTCTAAGAGTTTAATGTATTTCAGCTTGCTCTCTCTTTCTGGTGATTTGGAAGATCTTGCTGTTTGGCAAACTTTAGCCTTACCCCTAGAAGCAAAACAAAGTGCAGCAAAGAGTTATGTAGCATCGGCAACGAGTAAAATATTATCACGTAATTATCTTTGGATTCTTCGGTCTTCGTGGCGTATTTACAGAAGAAAGACAAGCAACTTTTTAAAAACTGATTGCTATTGACGGACGTTGACTTGTAGCACCAACCTGCTGGTAGACAGCTAACCCGCTGAAGTACCTCAACGCATTAGACTGAGACCTATCGTCATAGAAGCGTTGACTTGTGCAAAGCAACCTGTGGTAAGTGGTGGCCAAAAGCTCGTTCCAACGTCACAGGTTAATGATCAGGTCTTCTATGATGATTGATCTCGATTCGACCATTCCTGGGAATAGGGCCACGCCTTCTCTCGCGGTGTCAACATCCTAACACTTTCCTTCATTTACTAATTTGACCTCTTCATTCATCACCAGAAGATTTCTTTGCTTCACGGCAAAAAATTCCCGTCTCTTATTGCATGTCTGAGACAATAACCATTTTGGGTGTAATTTTTTTTTCATCTTAGACGCCCTGGGTAGCCGCCTTGTTCTCCAAATGCTAAAAACGGCACTTTTTTTTTTTACAACTAGCGTTTCTAATCGATGTCACTTTCGATTTGTTATGAATTACTTAGACACTTCAGTGTTGGAGACTTACTTCTCTAAAGTGTTGACAACTTGTTGAATTTTGATGTTTGTTGGTTCCTCGGATGTTGAGCTCATGTTTCGAACTGCTGCCAGAGAGGAGAAGAATTTCAGAGCGATTTGACGTTCTGTGGAGGGGAGACAATTCACGAAAATTTTAAAAATTTTAATTTAATTGAAACATGGAAAAAGGAAATCCTAAATTTATTGTATTTGATTTAAAATATGAACTAAGAGGTAGTAAAGTTCCCCTTTCAGACCTTGCGATCTATACAAAAGATAATATAAAGGTCTTCTGTTTATGTGGTCCACTGTTAACAAGGTTGTCATGAGGCCATCACAATGACCAAGCGCTTTTACTTTTCCTCAACTGATGTCAGGTAATAAGAGCTGGGTGGACTCAGAGGCGCCATTGACATCCCAAAATGAAAAATCAGTCTTCACAAGGATTCGAACCCAAGACTCTTCGGTTCGGAAGCCAAGCGCTTTACCCATTCATCCACCATGTATTCAAATTATGAGTTTAGTTGGCCTAAAACTACAACAAAATTGTTTATGAAATGGATGTAATGCTTTTTCTTTTGTATGTTTGTGTGAGTGTGTGTGCGTGTGTGAGTGTAGCAGTTCCAAGTAATAATTTGCGGAAAGAAATAAGAAAAGTTTCCCTTTTAGGCCAACGTTTAACGAGCAGCGTTTCGTGTGGCCAGCACAACGACCAACCACGTTTACTTTCCCCAACTTAAGTCAGGAACCCTTTAGAGTCTGGTGGACTCAGGGGCGCCCTAAGAACCCCGAAATTCAGAATCTCAGTCATCACCGAGATTCATACCGAGGACCCCTAAATTCAGATGCGAACCATCTAACCACTCAGCCACTGCTCCCAGCGGAAAGATATGACATGTAAATTATTTTTATGAAGAGTTTATTAAAAGTCAAGACAATTTGTAAATATAAAAAGATACAAAGTAAACACTTATGTGTGTGTGACAGAGAAAGTGACAGAGTGGTAGAGAGTAGAATTATTTACAGAGAATGTTAGATTGGAATTGAGAGAATGAGAAAAGTGAAGAATTCGTAAGCTGAAAAGATACTTTTATGTCTTACTTTCAATAGAATCGGCACTAAACATTACAAAAAAAATTATGCAGATTTAGAAAACTAGAAAGACGACACATATTCCAAATGAATGTTTAATAAGAATAAACGTTGCCAAAGCGATCACAATACATATATTTACATATTTTCAGTCAGTTATTAAAACACACTCAAGTGTTTACATTTAGCAAAAGTTGTGATTCTTTGCTTTTTTTTAATTTATTATTTGTATTTTTTACCAACAAGTTTCCTGTCTATCAAGATTTTTGTTTGCCTGCAGTTATAACATGAATGCTTGCTATCTTACCAAGTTCTGTAGCTGTCTCCAGCCACAGCTGGACCTTTTTCCTGATGTCAGGCAACACGGTCTTGTTGATAGCGCTCTCCAGCTGGTTCTGTTTGATCTGAACTCTCAGGATCTTCTCGATCACCTGGCGGTCGTTCAACGAGGCCTGTTTGAGCCAGTCGGCCGCTAAGTTGGCCACGTGAGGCTGTAGGGTTGTCTTTAATATCTGTTCGATCCCAGACTTTGCTTCAGTTTTACTTTCTGCAAACTACACAGAGAAAAAGCACATTACTTTTTTGTTTAGCTTTTGAATATCGCGTCTATAGCATGATCAGTGAGCGATGGTCTTATTTCACTATTGAAATACGTTGGGGGTAGTCTGGCTAGTAAGAGAATGTTTTCGTGTACCTTTGGCACTACGAAAAATAACTGTTACGGTTTAGGTCTACGTGACTTTGTTTACAATCATGACTTTTATTTTTATTTTATATGAATAGTTTTATTTCTTAAAACACTTTAGCTGGCGAAAAAGAAAAAATCACTCCCCAAAACTGTAAAGAGACAAACTCTGAGTTGGTTGCGTCATGTTGTAAGACCTTGACTAACTTTCTAAAGCCATCCTTCAAGGTACAGTGGAGGGAGCACGAAGAAAGGGCGTCCAAAGAAAAGCTGGATGGAGAACGCAAAAGAATGGACCGGCCTCTGCCTTGATATTCTGCTAAGAACAACTTCCGACCCGGAAAAGTGGAGAGACATTTGCACGTACCGTGACAGCACCACTACGACGAAAGTCAAGGGACAGATGAGATGACCAGATAATGAGATGACCAGATAATGAGATGACCAGATGATGAGATGACCAGATGATGAGACGACCAGATGATGAGACGACCAGATGATGAGACGACCAGATGATGAGATGACCAGATGATGAGATGACCAGATGATGAGATGACCAGATGATGAGATGACCAGATAATGAGACGACCAGATGATGAGACGACCAGATGATGAGATGACCAGATGATGAGATGACCAGATGATGAGATATGCCTTATGACTTTTAACTTACATTTTGCGACGCTGGTTTTTCAGTGACTGCAACTACAGTCTTTGATCTGACAGGTGGAGCCGAGCTTGTGATCGGTGTCTTGATCTCTGATAGGCAGCTTGGGCGTCGAGGCTGTGAGATGTGTATCGCCGGCACTGAAATAATAACTGTCGCAATTTATTTCTTTAAGGAATACATATTTTAAATTATATAATGCATGTTTGTGTTCCAGTAAAGCAAGATATTTTTACAAA